CAGAAAAAAAACAAAAAAAATAAAAGTTTTTCTTNTAAAAAAAACCCAGCCTCGAAAATTTAAACTCTTTTTTTTTTTTTTTTTTTTTTTTTTTTTTTGCAATGGTCGTAATGTTTTCCAAAGCTGTTCCTGAAAAAATATCACAACAAAAGAAGCAAATTAATCGAAGCAGGTAAAGTAAAACCGGACCTACTTACCACTGTTGCTGGCTGCCCTGCTGCAGACCCCACTCCTGGTTGGCGTCCCTGTGATGCAACCTGCCCAGGTTTGGCTTGCTGCTGCTGCTGCTGCTGCTGCTGCTGCTGTTGTGCTGGTCCACTTCCAGTGTTCGTAACTGGCTGGCTACTCTGTGGAGTCTGACTGTGCTGTGGCGGCTGCTGCTGTTGTTGCACACTCTGTTGTTGATGCTGCTGTTGATGCTGCTGCTGCTGCTGAGCCTGCTGGCTACCATCAAGTTGTTCAGAACCCGAATGTCTTCCAGTCTGCCCCTGACCTCCTGATCGCTGCTGCCCTGCGTGGCCCTGGGGTGGCTGCTGGTTCTGTGGCTTAGAAGGGTCTTGTCTCCTGCCCATTGTGCGGTCACCTTGAGATCTCTGACTCCGACCCCCAGTGCCATGGTGATGACCAGGGACCGGCTCACGAGAGAAGTCTCCTGAGTTGCGTGGGCTACCGTGGGCAGACCGAGAGTCTGTACCGCTCCTTCTTTGTGTGGATGAGGAGGTCCTGCTATCAGTGCGACCAGATGGGTCTTTGGGGTGTGTCCTGGAAGAGCGTGAAGACTTGGGGTCCTCTGAGGAGTGACGAGAGGAAGTGTGTCTGCCAGAGCTGCTGCCGTGATGGCGGTGGTCCCGTGACGAAGAGGAAGGGTGACGCTGGTTGTACTCATCCTGTTGACTGTATTCCTCTGGAGGCTCATCATAGTCATGGTAAGTATGTTTACTACGTCTTCCTGTGGAAGAGTGACCTCCACTCCCATGATGTCTTGAGCGATCAGAGCGGGCCTCCCGTGGTTTCTCAAACCAATCAGTCTCCTCTTGACCCAAATGATAGGCTTTTTGAAAAGCAATACACATATTATCAATTAATTGCTCTAATATGGGGAGTGGAGTAGCATGCAGATTCATGTGGAAGTGAGAAAACATGCTCCACAGTCCAGAGCCATGCAGATTCCAACAAAAAATTAAAATATAAAAACAGAAAAAAAAAAGAAAAAAAGCAAAGACCACAACTCACCAAAAACTTAAAAGCCATGCACGCAAAACTTATGTTCAAAATACTTTGGCTTTTCATATGAATAAGACAAGAAAGAGACAAGAGAACAAAAAAGAATGGAGTTCTCCTTCAGAGTTCACATGCAGTCTTTTCATCACACCTGAAGGGTGGTAAAAAAATATATATATATATCACAGAAAAATTAATTCAGCACCAGTTACCTTCGCTATCAGAAACAGCACAGTGCATGTCGTCTACGAGGTAAGGATCATCTGGTTTATAGACGTGACTTCTGGGAAGGTCCTTCTTGTGGTGATCTTGCACATCCGGCAGCGAATGGCTGGAACCGTACTGGTTTCTCACATCGTGGGCCTCTGACATGGCAGAACTTCTTCCCATACCTACAGGCTTCCCTACAGGACTAAGTGGGCTCTCCTCTTCTGAATTCTGAGTTCGCATCGGAGGACGTCCACTGCGGCTACTTCGGTGAGATCGCTCCATAGCATCTCTCTCGTAGGATTTGCTGCGGTGGCCTGTGGTGTCTCTGGAAGAAATCTTATCCATACCGTATCCTGTAGATCTGGACCTTCCGGAGCTGTACATGCGGTCATCCTCTTCAAGACCCTCATGACTCGTGCCATAATATTTCTGTTGATCATATGCATTTTTCTTCATGCCGTAGGCGACGTCATCTTGAAGCTTCTTTGATCTTGACCCTACTGGACAGGTGCCTGCAGTTGATGTTGTCATTGTGTAAGAAGCAAGGTCTGACTCCACATCCCTAGCTTCCTCAATAGGTGAGAATTTAGAAATCTTCTGCTCCATTCCCTGTTTTCTGTGCTTACTTCGTTTAGAGGAGACTACAGCAGGAGCAAGATTTTTGGAGGAAATTTTGTGGCCACCAGAGCGAGAAGAATGCTTATAATCATCATAGTAGTAAGATGAGCCTCCACTCACTGTGGTGCTGGTCCGACTGTCCACTGTGCTTTGGTAACCAGCTGGTCCTGCAGGTCTTCCATAAGCATCAACAGGCTCCTCATATCCAGTTGCTCGTGCAGAGCCATTCTCACTGCGATACCGCCCTCCCACAGGATGACCCAGAGCGTCAGTGGGCTGACCAGTGTTGTCTTTTGTCAACTCACTGATGTCATCAATCATCACATAATTCCTTGGAATATTCTGCTCCAGGTTGGATGTGTAAAGACCATCTGAAGTGTATGCAGAGGTGGGACTGTCCACAGAGTGAGTTAGCCCAGGCTCAGGGGGGCGGTATTGTCCATATGCATTACTGTAAGCTGGTCCAAAGTTGGTATCTGGAGCAGAAGTGGCCACTGAGACTGCTGGGTTGCTAATGACTTCATAATTTGTAGGGAGTTTTTGTTCAAGTTCAGCCAAAGAAGTTTGCCGCGGTCTTTGATGGACAGTAAGAATTTCTGCTTGCGGCTGGTAGGCGAGGCCAGGCTGGTAGGAACTGTGACTAGGATAAGGAAGGCTTTGTCCTGGCATAGGCTGACCAGGTGAATGAAAGCCCTGGTGACCATGCTGCTGCATGGTGAAGTCAGTTTGATAGGAGGACTGGCCATACATGCGGGAGGAATAAGTTCCCTGGTTCTGGTACCCAGGGACTGTTGGAGGATGAGGCTGGAATGTTCCAGGCTGAGGTGCAGAAGATGAAGGGTATTGAGGAGTTTGGAAACCTATTGGCTGGTAAGTAGAACCAGGCTGATGTGTAGATGGTTGAGTTTGAGGGTATGGGTAGGGCATATAAGATGAGGTTGAGGGATACTGGGATGTTGCATTGAGGTCATTAGTAAACTGACTCAGTGGTGCAGTACTCGGTCTTGTCAGTAAACCATTAGCATCATATGTTCCAGTTCCCGCACCCATCCTGAGGTTATTGAGCTCACTGTCTGACATGTAGTCTCGAGGATCACCCATACATCGCAGATAGGCTAACTCTCTCCTCTCCCTATCCTTCACCATGGTCTCCTTACGCTGAGTGATGCCCAGTTCCAAATACCGCAGCTTGGCATCAATCTCTTTTTCTTCTTCCTCCAGCTCAGCCTGCTGTTTACGTAGCTTTGATGACTCTTGCTCCACTGCTTTTAATTCGCTTAACAGACCCGCCTTGGTGACTCCTTGGGCTGGTCTTGGAAGCACCCTCTGAGGCATGCCAGGGGAGCTGTACATTTGTGCTGGAGTAACAATGGGGAGCGGTGCTTCCTCTGGAGGGGGGCTGGGAAGAGTCCTCTTTACTTTCCTCATCAGAGAGTTCTGCTGCTGCTGCAGGGAGGCCATCTGCCATGAGAGCCAGAAACACAACAGCAAACACTCAGCTACAAACAACAATGCATTTATGTAAATCAAATGTCTTACTATTTAACTGATATTTGGAGAGGACCAGCACACTCTGTATCTCAAAGACAAATAAAAATCAGTCTGCAGTGTTGTCAAAAATACTTGCTGTTAAATGTCCAATGCATCGATATTTCTAATACAATTTATTATTGTTCAAAATAAGATGAAATTACTCTGTAATGCTTTTAATTTATATCCGCTGCATTTTATCTTTATTGTAAATGTAAATCAGTTGAACTCCACATTTAAAAGTAAAAGCAAATTCAATCACAATAATATGATATATTCTATAAAGCTAATTCTCCTATAAAAATAAGCTATTTTCATAATACTACATCTGAGCAGTTTGGAAAGTGTTAACTGAAGCCCAAGAAATCTGTCAAATTAACATGTACATGACAAAAAAAAAATCATTCTCCTAAGATTTTATTCTATCGGTTAATTTCCCCACTGGTCTTGTGATTAAATATCCTTAGTATTTAGTCTGCTACATAAATATTTGAAAACTACATGCAGGCAAGAATTAATCAAACAATCAATATGAAAATATAGTAATCCAAAAGAAATATATGGTATTGTATTACTTACAAAATATCAATGTTAGGTAGATCCATGATGATTTTATCAAGCATTCTCCAAATGAGCCTTGTATTAAATACTAAGAGTCCAGATTGTAAGTACAAATGTGAAGACTAATTTCAGTCTAAGTGCAAAGCAGTATTAATTGACTTTGCCCAGCTGCTAACAATCACACAGAGAGCAAAGCAGCACCAGGATTTCTTCACATTATGTGTCCTCTTGGCAGCACTTTAGGGGTTTTCCAGATATAGAAGGCACTGCATGAACACAGTGTGTGAGAGAGAAACAGACTGAGAAAGTATAGAGGGAAAATGAGGGAGGAGATACAGCAGAGAGGCTTTAACGGCATGGCCAGATGCTCATGTGAGAACATTCTGTTTCCTCCTTTCTAATACGCCAGATCTGGTATGAATACATTAATTAATCTATATGAAGTAGAAAGCCATTTAAGTTGTATGTTTTCCCATTTATCTTTACACAGTTAAATTGTAAAAATAAATTTACAGAGTACTGTACCCCATGGGAAGATGGGTTATTCTTACGCCATATTCCCATTTTTTAATGCTACTTTCACAAACTAGAATGTCTTTTAAAGCAATTTTATAGGACGGAACATCACAAAGTGGGGGGAAAAGTTACACTTGCTGTTTATTGTGTTGCAAATGAAATGTACTGTATTTAGCTTAATTTATCAAATTTGTTTATCTTACTGGTCTTTTCTAATGAAATACATTAAAGTTTTGGGTCAAAATGGGAAAAAAATGTGAAAGGGGTGAGTTCTTGAGGCATACCTACAGCTATTTATGTATTGGAGCCTTAATATATTTCTGTTTCTCCTATAAATCTCAATATAAGTCTTAATTTAACTCATCCACACAAAAAACAAACAAACAAAAAAAACATTTGTATATACATTATTCTAAAACAGGAATCCTCAAATCCAGGCCTTGATGGCCAGGGTCCTGCAACTTTCAGATGTATCCCTGATTCAACACATCTCAGTCAAATGACTCAATTACCTGCGAGGTATGTAGTCAATCTGTCCAGGATCCTGCTAATGACCCAAGTATTTGACTCTGATATGTTGAAGCAGAGACACATCTAAAGCCTTCAGGATACTGACCCTCAAGGCCTGGATTTGAGGATCTCTGTCCTGGAATGTATACTTCTTCTCAGACAGACAAAAAAAAAAAAATACTGTACCTGGCTATTGGACAGCACTTGATGATAGGGGGAGAACCGATTCTTTGTGGGATCCTCTGATGTTGGGCTGAGAGGTTTTGGATCTGACATGGAGCGTTGTACACTTTTAATGGGCCTTGGCAGCGTCTGATGGCGTGGAGATTCAGCAGTGAAGGATTTCTGCTGGGGTGTAACATGGGCCTTGTTAAGCTTCTCCTGAGAGGCAAAAGTTGTCTCCAACATCCGATGAGGAGACAATGGAGAAACTGGGGAGTACAGTACTTGGGGAGATTTTGGGGGTTGGCGAGATGAAGACTCATTATGTTGATGATGATAGCCTATTTCCAGAGGATCTGGTTTCCTCCTTTCAAACTTAGCTACTCCTTGGAGTCTGGGAGAGGCTGTGTCAGATGTATTTCCACCTACTATATGGAGACTTGTAGAGTATGGACTAATAGTTGTAGGGACACTCAGCTGAGGGGCTACTACTCCCTGAGAATGTGATTCTGGTTCTGTCTGGCATGCTAAACTCTCACCTTTGTGAGTTCTTTCTGGAGCTGCTATATAATGCAGTAGGTCAACTTTTGAGGTCTCTGCCATAGTAATGTGGATTGCAGGTGAAACTCTGCCAAGTAGGTCTGACTCTGTTTGACATGATGAGTCATTAGTGGTCTGAATAGCTATACTTGCTGAAATTACCTTGGAAGAGCCATCAGATTTTGCCTCACCACTAGATTCAGAGTGCTTGGACACACGAGACCGTCTGCGCCTTACTGGTTGTTGGTCCCATTCTCCCTGGTCTTCCTCATCAGTCTGTACACTGCAGTCTGCAATTCGTCTTGTTCTCCTACGCCTATTCATGTACCTTTCTTCACCATCCTCATCATCTGTTTGCACACAGCTGTCTGTAATTCTTTTGACAGAGTCCTCCTCTGAACCATCCCTCAGCCGAGGCATGGAATTCTGCTTTTTCATAGTCTTGGAATCACCCTGCTTGTCACTGCTTCTCAAAGACATTTCAGAGGTGGAGCTATGAATGGGTCGAGCAGCCACTACTGCTTGGACAACTTGTCCATCCTGCCAAAATTGCACACTTTGCCCATCTTGCTGAAGGACTCTACCAGTCTGATCACAGATTATAAATCCTTGAGGGGCCCCTGCTCCAACAACTACTCCTTGGATGGCACTCTGGGCTGATGTTGCTGCAGCCACTGCTGCAGCTGATGCAGCAGCCACCTCAGCAGCTGCAGCCGCTGCTGCTGCTTCAACTGCTGCTGTTTTTTGCCTTTTCTGCTCCTCCAGTTGCTGCTGAAGCTGCTGCTGCAGGGTCTGAATTTGCTCAAGCTGCATTCTTTGCTGGGCCAGCTGCTCTCTTTGCATTATAAGTTGTGTCTCCCTCTCGGCTTGCTGTTGTTGTAGGACTTGCTGTTTTATTGTCTGCAGTTCTTGGATCTCACGTTGAACAAGAAGTTGTTCTTTTTCTCTGTGACGCTGAAGCTCCATACGATCTCTCTCTAGCTCCTCTTGAAGGCGCAATTGCCTCAGTTTTTCTAATTCAACCCGTTCTCTCTCTAGCTGCAGAAGTTGTTCTTGTTGCTGATTGAGTTTCTCATCTTCCTTGTTCTTTTGTGCATCAATGGGAGGGGACAGTTTGGAACTTGATGCCTGGGTACTTTCAGCTTGTGTCTGTCCCTGAGAGAGAACTACTGGTTGAGGCTGACTGGCGGGTTGTGTTTGAGGTTGGGTTTGAGTCAAAGATAAAGGTTCTGTCTGTGCAGGTAACTGTTGCGGTTGCATTTGAGCCTGCACTTGTTGGGCAGATGAAGGTTGGCCTTGAACTTGAGAGAGAGATGCAATACTTTGTGAAGTAAATTGAGATCTGTCGATTTGTTGTTCTGCTGTGGCTTGTATACCAGCTCCAGGTACGCTTTGTGTTCCTGAGTGCGCTGCAGGTGGTGTCGGGGGAATGGTGGCAGCTGTTGGTCCAGATATTGTTGTTGACGGCTTCCCAAGGTATACTGGAATTTCTTGGTGAGAGCTGCTTATTACAACACCACTTCCTGTTGGTGTGACAGACAAAGGATACTGGTTTGGAGAAGGATAGGAATATGCTCCTTGTGTGGAAAGAGGCATTCTGGGAGTCAACTGAGGCAATCTGGTAAGACTAGCCAAAGGTACAGCAGTTACACCTGCAGGGTAGGGTCTGTAAATTCCTCGGGGCATGGGACGAATTACTGGGGCAGGCTGTGTAGTAATTGGTAAGGTGGAAGCTATGGGAGTGTTTATGGTGGAATATATCATGCCATCACCACCTCTCATAGCAGTAGGGTATAAGGCTCGTATACTTGCTTGCCTCGCATTGATTAAATTTGTTAGAGCTTGGCCATTCACAGCTTGTCTACTATCTGGACCATAAAGCAAATTTGCCCTTATTGATGCTAGGCTTTGTTGAAGATTTAATCTGGCTAAAGGCCCACCTCTTCCAGCACCATATGCTGCCAATTCAGGGTTATTTCCAAAACGGCTTCCAAACTGGTCGACAGTGTTAAGGGCTGCACACATACGACTTATCTCCCTAGCAGTAGTTGCACTATACTGAGCCAGATTGGAATCCTGTGAGCCTGTAATATCACGTGAAGCACTGGTGTAATCAGAGTTGATATTTGACATGGAGCCATACCGACGAAGGGGTAATGAAGGGCCTGTAAAATCTCCCTGATGACGCAAATCTGTGTAAGATCCATACTGTGCTCCCATGCCAAGGTATCCACCATCATAACCTTGATTCATACTACTGAGATCTACAGCCAGTCCACCCTGGAGAGGATTCTGATAGGACCCAGCATCACTCATTGAAGGCAGATTAGTATCAGACATAGAAGGCTGTAATCTCCCTGCAGAAGCTATAGGTGGTGGATATAGTTTGTGTTCGTCAGGAAGTCCTTGTGTAATTTGAGGCTGCAGTTGTGGCTGTTGTTGCTGGCTAACACTAAATTGGGGTGGCTGAGGAGGGTGGGCTGCTTGAGACTTTTCGGTGGTGGGACTTTTATCTGAGGACACTGTAGCAGGCTTCTGAGAGAATGTCCCTGAACAGGTACCAGCAAAGGGCAATTTGTAAACAACATCACAACAAGCCACTTGGTTTTCTTGTTTAAGCTGTCCAGTTAGATCCAAAACCTGAGGAGGAGGTGGTGGTGCAGGGGGATGCTCTTCTCTTTTTACCAGCTGAGTCACGGTGCCACTTTTGGATGTGTTATTCTCATCAAGTTGTACCATCATAACATGGGGTTTTCCTGTTGACAAGTTTATAACAGTTGGCTTATTTTTCAGCTCTAAGGCAACTCCGCCATACATTTCGAGGGGTACATTAGAAGTAAGGGCCACAGATGCTGATGGAGGAGCGAGAGGAGACACTCTAGGAATGGCATTAGCAGTCACCACAGGCTGACCAGTGCTTGTCTGACTCACTACAAGGTCTTTTTTCATCAGCAGTGGCTGTACCTGATTGGCTAAATTATAACGAGCAAAAGAAGACTGCTGCTGGTGCTGCTGAAGCTGCTGTTCAAGAAGTTGTTGCTGCTGCAGGAGCTTCTGCTGTTGTAACTGCAGTTGCTGTTGTTGTATGCCAAGATTTTCCAGACAGGCATCAATTTTGGGTATAGTTGGATCAGTAATTGGGACTTTGCTTTGGGTTAAACAAACAGCTGATCCAACACCCTGACCCAGATCCACACGGTTCTGCAATGGGTCTCCATATATGACAGGTTGTTTGGGTTGAGACATGAAGGTTGACACAGCAACTGTGACACTTACTGTTGTTGGAGTTGAAACAGAAACATGTGGTTGCTCTTGTGCATTGAGGTTCATAATAAGAGGCTGCACTGCTGTGTGTCTACTCGATGACTGCTCTGCTCCTAATGAATATCTTCTTGTGTCAGAAGCAAGTGATGTGAGATCCATTCCTTGATCTGTCATAATAATTGGAGCTGGTCTCATTGGAGCTCTCAGATCTACAACATTTGTGCTTTGCTGTGTTTGACTTTGTCCCACAACCTTTGAAGCACGAGTTTGTGTACTTGTCGCTCCTGCACTGATACCAACATTTACTTTTTCAATATTGTGCCCCATTTGTGAAGAATGTTTTAGCTGCTGAGAGGAATGCATTTGAGGTGATGTTGGCGAACTTGTTGAAGGGGGCTGTGAGCTATATAAGGTTTTACAACTGCCCTGTGTTGGTGAGGACAAGGGGGAAGTGGATGAGTTTACAGTAATTGGCTTGGCAGGGCTTGACTTTTCAGAGCCTAGTGTTATGACCATCACGGGTGAATCTTGGGATGACTGCTGTCGTACAAGACGAGGTGACATTGTCCTTTGAGGTGCTCCAGTATGGGATACTGGAGCTGTTGTTGCTCCAGAAGGCAAAGATGGTAGCTGCCTGCCACTACCACTTGTGGGTCGAACAGATGGTGAATGTGTTGGACTTTTTGTTGGAGAAGTAGTGGGTGAGACTGGAGGACTAGGTCCTTTGAACATTGAAAAGACTTTGGAGGTCAAAGATGATGATCCAGGGTCGGGTGTTGCTTGTGTTGACCTCTGGGGGCCTGCTCTGTTGCTAACAGGCACTGCATTTCCTGCCTGCCGAGCTGAGGCTGCCTGACTAATTTGAGCTTTGGTAGTGGCAACTCCAACAACTCCTTCAATTTTGGCACTCTGTGTCATCATTCTGTTTTGTGTTTCTTTTGATAAATGCTGTGCAGCGTGCATGCTGCCTGATGTGGAGAAGGACATGGGTGCAGTTACTTGAGTTGGGCTAGAGCCAGGGGTTAGGGAGGTTCCAGCATCAAGATGATGGCCACTGTCTGGCTGAGAGGCACCTTTTTGACCCTGCTTCTGCATGAGTTGTGCTTTCCTCATCATCTCTTCATATACCTCTTCTGCACTTTTTAAGGTTTTATCAGATGGCAACATTGCTGATGTCTTTTCTGTTGGTGAATAGAGTGATGTGTAGGTTGGAAGATTAAATTCATTTCCTGATTTGTAAAGCTTTCCACCTATCATCTCAAAACCTTCTGCTTCTGAGTCCATAGAAGGTGAGTATTCAGAGCATGATGATCTATGAAGCTCCTCCATCTCTGCAGCCTGTCTCAGCTCCTCTGTTGGTGATGCATCCTCAATAGGGGAAAGATTACTGGGGGGAGTTTTGGATCGTTCTCTGCGCCTTTGTGCCCGAAGTTCTTCTTTATCTCTTTTTGTTTTCCGAGCAGTACTTCGAATCCTCTGTTGCTCCAGATCTCTCATCTGCTCCTGTTCTCTTAGTAGTTCTTCTTCTTCTCTGAGCTCATCCTCCTCAGAGGAGTCTTCAATTGTAGGGAGGAGAGGCCCATGAGACCGATGTCGAGCTTTCCTTTGCTGCTTTGCCTCTTCAAGTCGTGCTCTTCTACTAGGACTGCTGTCACTGTCATCCTCCATAGATGATACCGATGTGGGTGATGTTCCAGAAGTGTAGCTGGGAGTCGTGGCCGGTAGGGTGGATGAATAATCGCCCTTAGATCGCTCCTCTGGTGAACCAGTCAGACTTTCCATTTCGAGTTCTGGCTCTCGAAGGTCATGTTCATTACTGAGCTCAATGTCTCGGTTGTAGCTGTTGGTATTATTCAACTCAATCGTTTTAAAACGCCGAAGTCCTCCAGCCATAACAACATCTTCCTCTTCATTTGCCTTGTAAGCACCCTCAGATACTTTTTTGTCTTCTTCAAAACTATTTGACTGATGAGAGAGTCGCCTTCTCTCTTTGCCCGACTCTCCACTGGTTTTATGAGTCTTCTTGGTTTTCTGGTTTCCATATTCTTCTAATTCTTCTTCATCAGCACTCATCTCCATAATCTGCCTCCTCATGTATTCTTCATCTGTTAAGTCTTTATGGGACTTCTTTTGTCTTATTGGCAATGGCGAGAGACCACTTTCACTGCTGTCTTCCACATAATCATGGCGAAGTTTACAACTGAGGTCATCTTCTGATTCATCCCTTCCTGCTTCTTCATCAGGATTGTAGTCTCGTTCTTGCCCCACAGAAAGTGAATGTGGTCTATGCTTTGGGTCTGAGGCAGACTTTGATTCGAGCAGAGGTTTCATAGAGCTCTCTAATTTGTTGATGTCTGAAGGGATGGAAGCACCTCTTTCATTAAGCTTGATTCCCTCTTCCCGGATCTGACCTGTAATCTCCCCTTGTGAGCTGGAGATCCCATCTGAAGAGTATCCAGTGTCACTTAAGCTCTGCGTACTTGATTTATTGGAGTCCTAAAGAAAGAGAGAACATAGGGATGTTAGACTCTAGAAAAGGCCTTCATAATTACTCATACAAGGTACATTACAAGCTTCACTGCACATTTCATGTCGCACTATTTCATCCAGTTCATCAGCATTGACATTTTTATGCATATTGTCAGGTGATTGTAGGTAACACAATTTATTTGCAATTATTACAGATGAAATAGTCTCTAATAGTAAGATATTAGAGAATAATTACATTGGAAATAATTAACAAGGTATTTTAACACTTTAGGATAAAATCAAACCAAATATTAACTTTTGTAACATTAGAATGTTCAAATAATAATAATAATAAAAAAACATGAACAAATGATATTAAATTACCTGGATAAGAATAACTTTCACTACACAATTAGGATCATATTCCATTAATTCGGATTGAGTTTATCCTTCAGTGTATTGTGCACACAGATGGAAAAATTGACATTGACAGAGAGTGAATATAACAAACAGTTGGACATACAAACATCTACAGACAAATGTCATTTGGTTACATGCTTGTTTGCCATCTTTGTCGCATTCTCCATTGCATTCTTCGACCCATTGAAGAATAAGGAACATGCTCGGAATGCTTAAAATGTCATCACAAAGTGTCACATTACACAAAAGCTTGTGATTTGTTTAACAAAAGAACAAAAAGGTTTTCAAAAACAAAACAAAGAAATGGTTAAGTGGACAAGAAATGAAAATTTGCCTTTAAGGCAATAATAAAAAAATTAAAAGCACAAAAAAGCAGATGGTTTTGATGTTGATTGTGATGATGACTGTTTAAAAAAAAGATGATCGTAATAATGAGAAAGTTAGAATGTCCAAGACATCTGTATCAGTGGGATTGGGTTTGGTTAAAAGTTTGATTTATGTTATGATAAACTACAACATCTGATTATTATTATTTATGGTTATGGCCAAAATTAAAAGTAATTAATTAAAGTAAAAACTGATACACTTTGGCTATTATAAATCTAAGGACCATAAACATAGTGTATGTTCCTTTTTGTTCAGTATTTGAAGTATTACAGCATTTTTAACCATATGTATGCATACTCATGTCTTTCGTTTTCACCATGTGATTGCAATCCATTACAGTTATTGAATCAATGTATCAATAATGTATCCAACTTAACAGAGAATGCCTTTATTCAGATCTCAAAATTCAAGATTAATCTTGACATAATGAGGACCAAAGAGCATGCAAGATACTTTTGCATGCTCTTTGCCAGAATAAAGTGTTTCATACACACAGATAAATTGGTGCATGATTTATTTTCTGAAGGTTATTGTAATGGTGTCTTTACTAGTCTTCATAAAAATCAATAAAGTGGCAACAGTTCATAAAAAAGTCTACTACATGAGTCTTGTAAAGTACAAGACATATTATATCCGTTCCTGTTTGTGTCACTATAAAATTTAAAGTCATGTTATTGGTCTATAAGGTGCTGAATGCTGACACACCTGTCAAAGTTAGTGTGTCAGGTATGAACTATCTACACTCCTTTTACCATTAGACACTCTTCCTCGCAGTTTTTGGGGACCCGAACTAAACAAGGGGAGGCAAACTGTCTATGTCCCTCAGCTCTGGAGTCACTTTACTGAATAATTAAGATGTATACAAACTGTTAGTTCTTTTAAGTTATCACTGAAATCATTATTGTTTACTTCATAAAAGTCAACCATTATTTCATCCTTTTAGTTTTGTACTTTTACTTGCTCTTCATTTGTGTTAACTGTACCTTTTAACATTTTTTTGTTTTATGTGATGCATACATTTCACCATTATACTTTGGATGTATTGCATTAGCTTTTTTATCTCGCTACCTACATTTTTACATTTAATTGTCTTGCATATAAATATTGCAATTTGAATAAATTTTCCTTGACCAAAAATGATGATGGTACAGCAAGAATAATGTTTGTGATAAAAAGTGTTTAAAATAAAAATAAAATAGTTCTGATGAGCTCAAAAATAATGTATATAAAAAATAAACATTATGATTTAAAAAAAATGTTTCCAGTCATTTAAATGGAGCAAAGCAAAATAAAATGGTGAATCAAGTAACAGGAGTAATAGGTGAAGGCGAGGAGGTTGCAGGTAGCTCACTTCGTGGTGTCTTGACTTCTTTTCTTCCTCAGTTATCTTGATCTCGTGTGGGGAAGTCACAGTCTCTGACAAAGCCTTCTTGGGTAAGACTTTGGCATCTTCTTTTAGAGATTTAGATGCAACTTTCATCTTCTCCTGGCTTTGTGGGGTCTGTTGTTTGCGGGTCTGGTTGTTACCTGTGGGTTTAGACTGAGTAGGAACTGGTTTTGCAGGTGTGGAAACCTTGTTATGGTTAGGAGCAGATTTATTAGAGCTAGGTGCAGCCTTGGCACCAGAAGGATGAGAAGGGCCCTTAGTCTGAGCAGAGGGCTGAACAGATCCTTTTGTCTGAGTCGGCCCTTTTGCCTGACTTGGGCCCTTCACTTGGTTAGCAGGCTGTGCAGGGGCCTTATTTTGAGCATGTGACTGGGCAGGACCTTTAATTTGAGCAGGTCCTTTACTTTGAGAGGAAGGCTGTGTTTGACTCTTAGCTTGGGAGGGTGGCTGAGCAGAACCCTTGGTTTGAGGGGAGGTTTGGCTGAGCCCTTTTGATTGAGGAGCAGGCCCAGCCTGTTTCACATTAGAGGGAGGGCCACTTACTTGGGGACCTGTAGGTTTCTGTTGTTGAGGACCTGTAATCCTAGGCCCTGAACCTTGACTGGGTGCTTTCTGCTGAGGTGTTTGCTGTTTGAATGGAGAAGGTGCCCGAGGAGATCCCATGGAAGGGGCTGCAGGAGGTGGAATATCTCCCAAACTTCCTGACAGAGCCCGCTGTGTTTGGCAGTTTAAGCAGAGCCATTCTTTCTTCTGAAAAACAAGAACAGAAGGCAGGAATCAGCAAAGTCACAACGAAAAAAAAAATTGTTTAAGTTATAAACTTAAATTATAAGAATCTATGTCTATGGGGACTTCAAGGACAGTGAAGCTCCGTTCAGCTGACTAAGTATGTTATTGGCAGAGAATACTGTGATTAAAGTGCAGCTGTAAAATGGTAAATGGCCTGCATTTGTATATAACCCTTTATCAAGTCCAAAGACTCCAAAGCCCAACAGGACGAATAGGATGAACTCCTACCTTCTGCACTAGTTTAAACAATGTTCACATAGACGTTTGTACTCTCTGGTACAGTACTTGACTGGAGCAACTCTTACCTAAAGAACAGTGACTTCTTCATGCCAATAGGCAACTTCTCATCAGAGCGTACAGAATTGGGGTACCTCAAAGTTCAATCCTGAACCCCTCCTACTACAATAGTAGTTACCAATACCTATGTAGATGATACACCGCTCTACCATTAAGTGACCTTTCAAGCACTGAGCAGATGTTTAAAACAAATTGTTCTAGACTGCTCGACATCTCCAGAACCAGAACCAAAGACGGAGAAGCAGAATTCAGTTGGTATGCTCCACAAATCATAAAGAAACTTCCAGAAAACTGCAAAACAATTGAAACGTTGAGTTTCTTTAAAATGAGGATAAAAACCTACCTGTTGCCTTTGAGTTGGATTTTTATGGAGACTGGTTGGTACAAGAGCGCAGAATTGCTAGTTTGGTAAATTAAATGCTAATGCTGTTGCTTTATAGGTGATCATGCAGTGCCAAGCACTCAGTAGGACCCACTCTGAACAACTGAGTACTGGAAAGCCTGTCCAAACAAGGCCTTTCATCTCTTGAAGAAGACTTAATCTTTTGACAACATTAAGCACTCTCAAAGAGGGTACACAGAAAAAGAGCACAGTGTGAATACAGATGATCGTGTCTGTAAAGAGGTGCAACAATCACTAGACCTTTGATAGAGCTCACAGCAAAGTCTCCTGCTTCTTGAAGCAGGGATTTGCCCTTCACATTCACCCTCACAGTCTTACATTGGGCCATGGTTATGTATTCTGACACTGCTAAAAATCCAGAACAAAACCCATCAACAGTAGGATATTAACATAAGCAGATTCAATTTCAGGTCAATGCAACAGATCGATGAAAACGCTCGCTGGAATAAAACGGTTCTATTGCGAGCAATGGTGCCATGTTAGTAACACAGCCCTTCATTAATGATAATCATCTGTGCCTCAGGCCTGAAGACGGAGTGTTTTCGTGTCACAGACTCGTTCAACAAAACAAATAACCTCATAAACACCTCGACTGCTGATTACCATCTGCCCAATAAATCATGTATTTTATTGCTGTCACATTTCAAAGGCATAAATACGGAAGATTTAACAACAGGCTCTGTCAAATCTATTAAATAAAAACAATTCAGGTGTTCGGGGACTGAATCGGAGAACATCTTTACATCAGTGCAAAGATCCAAGGCACCAAAGAAAGCAGAACATAAATTACTGGTTTTAAAATACTTTAACGTTACATTCATTCAACCAAAGAGTGAGCATGGATCATCCTAACATCACAACAGAAATCTTAGTGTCGAGATTCAGCAGCTACAAAGAGTTTATGGTAGGACAGTCCACCACATCCTGAACCAAAATAGAGACATAAGTCAGAGGGACTTCCTCCTTTTTCTGAAATCCTTGTCCAACATAATTTGTCTCTTTGTCCCCGAGGAACGGTGAACATGACAGTACATTTCGACCAAGTCTTATCAGATACAAGATGATGTGAGAGGTGGTAGATAAACCTCAAGGGTTTAGAAGTAAGGATGTAGGACAAAGACAAAGTCAACACACCCCTGTTAAAATGTCAGACTGTTGTGATGTAAAACAAATTACACCATTGTGAATTATTTCAGAACCATCTCGACCTTTAAAGCTGCAGTAACTTTTATGAAAATATGTTTTATATATAAATATAATTGTTAAATTTATCACTAGATGGAGCAAAGAGGAAAAGGAGAGTGTCATTTACTGAGAGTGATGTACACATGTTATATGATTTTATCATCAACAATGCAATTACAAACAATTTTCTTTTTAGCATTTAGATTTTGGCATTTGTACAGATTCTGAATCTCAGTGCATATGGTATTAAATATTACAAGACATTTATGAACAGCATCAAATATTAAGATGAGTGTAGTGGATATATGGATAGCTTTTTATATGTTTAATTTTTTTTCTCTACTGGTCGCAGATATTAATGTCTGCAGATCCAAAAATGTTGCACCTGGTGACACATTTTGGTATTGGTGACAATAGTCAGACTCTGCTCTGCCAGTTAAAACACGTTCAGAGTTCATAAGAAGGAAATTATTATACAATCTGGACCACAAGTAGGATGTGATTGATAGAATACCAGACCACTCTTTGCAGAGGCACTGACACAGCAAATATAGCACCTCATAAAAACTCAATTAGGGCTATTATGCAATGTGAGTGACAAATTATGCAGCACCTTCCTTTAGTAATGATGTCATTTAAACCTTGCATATTATGAGAACATGCATTTCACATTTGATGGTGCAGCAAAACAAAGAATGAACCAATCCATCATATTTTTTTTAAATTTCAAACAAAGATTAAATGTAAGAATCTTGAAGACTTGTTAAAGCTGAGCGTGACAGTGAGGGAGTGCTTTACTTATAATTTCAGCTTCTTAGTTTGACAAGATAATGAGTTCAAGTTCAGTAACCTTTCAAAACAAATCATGAAGCATTGCAGCGAAGACAAAGCCCCCACACTGGAACCTTTACATATGAATGCTATTTTTACTGACGATTTTTCGTACAAGATAAAATCTAACTGTGTCCAAATCCATCAGAAATCTGTTGTCTCAAGTGAGACCATGAGGCGTGGATGCAGCCATTGGTTTGCCAAACTGACAGCTTTGCTTTGTTTTCATATCTCTCAAGTGCTCTACTGAGAAGCTAAATATAAACAGGTGCAGCTCTCTCAGAAGCAGCCATCTGTTCTGGTTCTTTCATGACCAGCGACTGTGTTTGTGGACAGCAAGTTCACTATGGGACCAGCAGACATTTACTGAAGATGCACGCCAAAATTTACCATGTATTCTCACTTTATGGCCATCACAAACCAGGTTTGAAGTTTCTATGAAGAATAAATTCAAATTTCCATTGTTGAATCAATGTCCAATTAAAATACCACCATGCAATCCTAACTTCCTTTCCGATAGAACAGCTTTCTTCCTGCCATGTTGGCTAATGCCAAACTCCCCTATTTGCTCCTGAATCAGCATAACACGATTGCGTGGGTAAGAGAGAGAGAACCAAGGCCAAAACGAAGCTGCAAGTATCAAATTATTCATGTAGAGTGCTTTAGCTTGTACAGCAGTAAGCTATGTGGGCAGTGCTTCCCACCTCAACCCACACAGTGAAGAGAAAATCGTGTCTGCATAAGATGAAGACTCTGTTGCTTCCGAGATGGTCTTTCGGTGTTCTCTGAAAACAGAGCAAATGATGTAATTTCCAATATTTCACTCGGCCTAAATCAAACTGTAGCCAAACGTTTGAAACAAATAACAAAATGTCCTGAATGATATAGAAAGGCTTCTTTAAACTGGATGTTTATTTTATTTTATTTTCTACAGGGAACCTGATCTAACTCTACTTTTGCTATGTGTTAGAGTCACATAAAAATTGTCCAAAATTGTTTGTTTTGAAGTGAGGTATCATTTAGAAACAGGTGGGTTGTCTATCCCCATGTAATGGTTCCTCTAACTTGTCTCTTATTTCGTAAAAGCAGAAAAAAGCGATAATATTTTGCAAAATAAGTATGTATATTCAAATATGTCTACTAAACCCAGCTTGTGTTTATTACATATTTTGCTTTAGTCTTCCATTACTGTGTGCATCTGTAGGAAATAAATCTTTTAAAATGAACTACTGTTTCTGCCTGACAATAAAAATTTTAATTTAACTGCATTTGACAGAAGTAACATTTAATTATAGACTTTTCTGGAAATCTTAATCAGAAAGAAGTTATTTAATTCATCATCATTAGTATATAAATGTATGTGGCTGTGCTCTCAATAACACTATATACATTTTACAGACAACATCTTTATACAGCACCAATCATAGCAGCAACTATACATTATTACATCTAAAAATATAATAAGTATGTAATAATTGATGCTTTTTTGGTACCTTGAAATCAGTCTCTTGTATGTATTCAGCCATACCCCAGGAGAATATTAGTAATTAAAATCATTTATTCTTAATTTTATTTAACAATAATTTACATTTACATTTTTTATTGTTGTGATCTTTTTTTTATTAAAGTATCAACATATAAGTTTAAATAAACTGCTTATTTATATATTTATTTACTTAAATAATATCTGTTATAATATCATTTATGGTTTGTCTTTGCAAGCTCAATATTTATTTTCTGTTAGTTTGGTTTGTTGTTATTTTTTACTGCCTTCTGGTTTTATGTTCTATTTGGCACTTTCTGTTGTCTAAGCTATTTATGGAAAGTGCTCTATAAATGCGGACTGATTGAGTGATTGATAAAGCCCTGCCAGTGAAAGCGCGGTCTCTGGGATGAAGAAGATATCGCAGGTACTTACACATACAGCATGCCTTCGTTAATTCTCTTTAGAAGAGAGGTGATTACAACGTGTGGGAGTGGATGATTGTTCGACCAACTAATATGTGGCCATAGATTCCATTTTTGAGTCCACTTTGCGTATCCAAAGTCCATTACAGGCATCGGCTGGGAAACGTGTGCTGTGTTGTTAAAATGTTGTTACTGGTGAATTCCTTAACAGTCATCTGATGGATAACGCAGAAAGAAGTGATGACAAAATGCAGTGTTTGTTTTTTTTTTGGTTTTTTTGGTGGGTGTGCCGGAAAGACGTTAAACACGAATTGTCAGGTGCATTAAAACTGCAGTA